TGAGTCACGGCCCGGCCGTGGCCCTCGGCCAGCCCGGGGTGTGGGCACACACAGCTCGGCCGGGAAGGTGTTGGTGGCTTGGGGAGGGAGGGGGAACAGCCCACGGTGAAACTGGGTTTTGGGGGGGTTGGGGCACTGCCCTTCCCTGGTGTGACCCCCCCTGTTTGCTCCACAGCTCCGGCACCGCCTGTCCCGGCCTCGACACAGAAGGGGAGGATCCAGGCAGGTGGGTTGGGGGCTGTGGGCAGATGGGGGCTGAGCCCAACTGCCCTTCTTGGGGGGAACTGGGGGTTGTGGGGGACACTGGTCTGAGCCCAGCTGCCCTTCAGGGGAGACTGGGGGTAATGGGGGACACTGGGCTGAGTCCAGCTGCCCTTCTTGGGGGGAACTGGGGGTTGTGGGGGACACTGGTCTGAGCCCAGCTGCCCTTCAGGGGAGACTGGGGGTAATGGGGGACACTGGGCTGAGTCCAGCTGCCCTTCTTGGGGGGAACTGGGGGTTGTGGGGGACACTGGGCTGAGCCCAACTGCCCTCATGGAGGGGATTGGGGGTTGGGGGACACTGGTCTGAGCCCAACTGCCCTTCCTGGGGGGATCTGGGGGTTGTGGGGGACACTGGGCTGAGCCCAACTGCCCTTCCTGGGGGGATCTGGGGGTTTTGGGGGACACTGGGCTGAGCCCAACTGCCCTCATGGAGGGGATTGGGGGTTGGGGGCACTGGGTTGAGCCCAACTGCCCCTCCTGGGGTCACCTGGGCTGGTGAGGGGGCCAGTCCTGGTGGCACCCCCTGTGCAGGGGTGATTTGCTGGTGGCTTGGGGCACAGCTCCTTCTGTTGGGGTGCTGACGGCTCCTCTGCCCCCCCCTCCTTCCCCTCCCCACAGATGACGCGGCCGCGCACGTGCTGAGGAGCGTGGGGCAGAACTCGGCCATGCGCAGCAGCAGCCGCCCCTTCACCTTCATCATCCTCCTCCTGCCCCTCCTGGTGCCACAGGGGCTCTGAGCCGCCCCACGTGCCCGGAGTCGCCGAGGTTGGGGACCCCCGTGGTCCCCACACGCCTGCCCTGCGCGCAGACGGGCCAGGAAAGGATTTGTCAGTATTATGGGACTGAAGGGCCCGAAGCCGTCGGAGCAGCCCCGCTGGCCCTTCCAGGATGGAAGGAGGAGGCCGAGAGGGAGCCTGGAGCTGGAGGGGCTTCTGTGCCTTGGACTGGAGAGGAGTGGGGGGCTGGCACCCCTGCCCCACAGCTGAGTTTGCCCACCACCCTCAGGGCTCTCCCGGCGGTGGGCTCGGACTGGGACGTGTCCTGCAGGCGGGGACGTGGGGCAGCACCGGTGCAGGGGGCTCTGCTGACCCCCGGGGTCACCAGCTCGGGGAGCCTGGACAGGCTGGAGACGCCCTGGCAGCCAGAGGAGCGGGGCTGTAGGAAACATCCCCCTCCCCACCGTGCTGTGCCCCTTCCCCACCCTTCATCCCCTGGCCCTTCCCCATCCCCCCCCTCCGCTGGGTGCCGGAGGGGCCCCCCCAGCCAACCCCCCCTTTGTACAGCTTTTTAACAGGGAACTTTTTATACAATTGTCAGGAATAAATAACCAAAACCGTACTGATCTCCTGGGGCTGGGGGGGCAAAGGGTCATCCATCCCCTCCCCGGGGGCCAGGCTCTCCTGGTCCCCATGGGGGGCTGGGCTGGTTAATTAATTAATTGGCTGGTGTTTGCACGGGGCTGTGAAGTGGCAAAGTGCCACAGCGGCTGGCACTGGCCCCGGCTTTATCTGGTGACACAAAGGCCTCCCGGGCAGGGGGAGGAGGAGGGGCCCTTCCCCCTGCTCTGCACTGAACTTCCAGGTGTGGGGCAGCAAGTCCTGGAACAGGTCCCAGGGGGTGGGACAGACCCCCCTGGGATGGGACAGACCCCACCGGTGGTGAGGAGGGGGTTGAGGTGCAGCCAGAGCCCCCAGCGCTGGGCAGGGGACACGGCCTGGCCGCACCCCTGGGCCCCCCAGAGGGGAGTGGTGTGTCCCTGGGGATGTGTGGCTCTGGGAATGCGGTGGTGGCCTCAGGGATAGGGGGATGGGGAGATCACAAAGGCATGTGGGACCTTTGAGGTGTAAGATGCTGGGGGGGCAGGGAGATGGGGTCGCTGGGACTTGAGGCCCTTGGAATTGGGGATGCTGGAATGGAGGGTTGTGGAGAGGTGGGGAGTTGGGGTCACAGGGATGTGTGACCCCCTGGATGTGGGGGGGACCCCAGGGGTGCAGAACCCTGGGGAGCTGAGCCCACAGGAATGTGTGAGACCCTGGGATGTAGGGAGGATCCCAGGGATGGGGGGTCCTGGAGAGGTGGGATCTCAGGGAATTGGGGTCACAGGGATGACTGATCCCCAGGATGGGGGGAGACCCTGGGGAGATGGGGTCACAGGGACAGGAGACCCCTGGAATTGGGGATCCAGGGATGTGGGATCTCAGGTAATCGGGGTCACGGGGGGATGAGTGACCCCCAGGATATGGGGGAGGGCACCCTGGGGAGATGGGGTCACAGGGACATGAGGCCTCTGGAATTGTGGACCCCAGGGATGGAAGGTCCTGGAGAGGTGCAATCTCAGGGAATTGGGATCACAGGGCTGGGTGACCCCTAGAATATAGGGGAGGGCACCCTGGGGAGATGGGGTCACAGGGACTTGAGGCCCCTGGAACTGGGGATTTCAGGGATTCAGGATCCTGGGGATTTGGGGTCACAGGACTGTGTGACCCCCAGGATGTGTGTGGGGGGGCAATCCTGGGGAGGTTGTGGTCATAAGAACATGAGACCCCTGGAACTGGGGATTCCAGGGATTCAGGATCCTGGGGATTTGGGGTCACAGGACTGTGTGACCCCCCAGGATGTGTGTGTGGGGGGGGCAATCCTGGGGAGGTTGTGGTCATAAGAACATGAGACCCCTGGAATTGGGAACCCCAGGAATGGAGGGTCCTGGAGAGATGTGATCTCAGGGAATGGGGGTCACAGGGCTGTGTGACACCTCCTCCCCCCCAGGATATCGTGGGAGACCCCAGGGACGGAGGGTCCTGGAGAGGTGGCATCTTGGGAAATTGGGCTTATGGGGATGAATGACCATCAGGATGGGGGGGATGAGGGGGGGGCGCACTCTGGGAAGGTGGGATGGGGTCACAGGTACTTGAGGCCCGAGGAACTGGGGATCCAGGGACACAGGATCCTGAAGAATTGGAGTCACAGGAACATGAGGAACTGGGGGGATTCTCCAGAACTCGAGGGAGGGAGGGAGGGGGGCACTGAGGACACGCGACACCGGAGGTGCCTCCCACTGTCCCCGGTGTTTCCCGGTGCCCTCCCCGCTGCTGTCCCGGTGCCCGCGGGGCGGGCGCTCGGAGCCGGATCCCCCCCGCCCCTCCCGGATCGCGGCCGGTCCCTCCCCGGTCTCTTCCCGCTCCCTCCCCGGTCCCTCCCCGGTCTCTTCCCGCTCCCTCCCCGGTCTCTTCCCGCTCCCTCCCCGCTCCCTCCCCGGTCCCTCCCCGGTCTCTCCCCGGTCCCTCCCCGGTCCCTCCCCGGTCTCTCCCCGGTCCCTCCCCGGTCCCTCCCCGGTAGTG